TAATACATTGAATGATCATTTGATTATATATATATATAAATGTGCACGTCAAATTTTAGTGCGGTAATTGTATAAATATAAAAATATTTCTATATAAAATAAAAAATAAAAGTTCAGTGGGTCACACAGTATAGTACGTAGTACTAGCCAGTGGCGTAGCCACAGAGGAGTGATAGATACGGGTTGATCGAGGTACTGGCACCTACATCTGCAAACAAACACTATGATTACTACTTTTCGTGCTCATTTACAGAAGACTTCCAACTCTCTCTCCTTTGTCTAATCTAATCACATCATGCCACTCAAAGTCTGAAACGAAAAGGACTCGACCCAAAAAAAAAAAAAAAAAAAAAAAAAAAAAAAAAAAAGGACCCAATAAAAAAAAGGGGAAGAAAAAACCTTGAGATCGTAACTTTGATTGACAGTTTTTCTTTTGTCTCTCTCTCTCTCTCTCTCAATAATGCATATGTGACATTTTTGTAGAACTACACCGCCACTGAATTCTCAATGTTATCAACTATTACGGTCTATTTTCACCTCGGTAAGCTAATGAACGGCTTGTTGCAGTAATTTCTTGAACACCGGCGAATTCTCTAAGGCTCAGTTTGGTATGATAGAAACGGGAGAAAAAAAAAAAGAAAGGAAATGGAAGAAAAAAAATAAAAAATTGTGTTTGGTATAAAATGTTGGATGGAAATGAAAGGGAATGGAGGTGTTTGGAAGGAAAAATTAAAGTATAAACAATAACTTTTTTTATTCTCTAAAAAAATGGGAGGAAAGGGAAAAAAGCTAATATTTTTAAAGAAATTTTATTAATACCAAATTTATTCTTATAAGAGAAAAATCATATAAAAAAAGGTATAGTTATAAATTCATTATTTTAATTTCCTTCCATTTCTTTCCTCAAACATGATTATTATTCTTTAAATACCTAAAATTATCTTTTTCTTTAATTTCCTTTCCCTCGTAACTATTATTATCATTTTTTTTCTTTTCAACTATACCAAACATACCCTAAGTCCAATGATTTAATTACAATGATTACTTTTTTTCTTAATTCTTTGTTCAAAATAAGAACAAAAAAATTCGAATTTTCAAAGAAGAGTGTCAATCTTCAACAAAATTTTGTGACTGTCTAGTTTTGTTTCCAACCAAAACCCACAAAATCTCACAAAATCTGGGAATTCCGACTCCCAAGAGCTCAATTTGGGTTATATATGTGATTATTTCAAGTGAAAAAATGATTTCTACAAAAAATTGATTGAAATCATTTGACAAAGTGAACAAAGGCAAAGAATAAGTTCAGTTGATCAAAAAAATGAAAACGATAAATGGATGAAGATTGATCTTAATGAGATGGGATCACTGAGGAGAATGAACCAGAGAGAGAATCGAAGAGAGTGAGGAGCCCCTAACATCCTCGGAGTAATTTTTTTTTTTAGAATGACCTGGCAACTACACGTTGGATTCAGACTAGTTGTTGACCTCAATGATCAACTGACTATTATTATTCATTTTAAATATTGCCAAACTCCCTTTTTCGGAATCTTTACTAATAAAACTTAATGCTACGTTTGGTGTATAAGAATTGAAGAGAATGGAATATTCATTCTAACCATTCTTTTGTTTCGTATGTAATTTAAAGTATGAATGGACATTTCATTAGAATGAAAATTCATTTTACAACTAAACCTATAGAATCACTATTCCATTTTCAAATAATTTTTTATTTTTTTTTATAAATAACCGTCCCAAAAAAAGTCTCATGTTCCAAATCCAAAAATCACCACGACCTTCTACCACAATCACATCCGCCTTTCACCACCACCACCACTGCCGCCACCTCCTTTCACCACCGACACCGCCTTCTTTTGCTGCAACTACCACTACCGTTATTGCCTTTCAGAACCACCACCACCTTCTACCACCAACGTTGCCATCGCCTTTCACCACTGCCACTTAGGGCTGCAAATGAACCGAGCCGTTCATGAACAACTAGGGCTTGACTCGTTAAAAGCTTGGTTCGGATTTGTTCGTGAAGTAAATGAGTCGAGCTTGAACACATTTTTTAAGATCGTTTAATAAACGAGCCGAGCTTAAGCAATGCTGAGCTCGACTCGTTAGGCTCGTTTAAGAAGTCCATTATATTCATATTTTTATATTAAAGGTGCTAGCCCACATATATTAGAAGTGTGGCTCAAAGTTCCTTATGTTTTAAGTTTACTTGTTAAAGCCCATAAAACTAATACCATATGAGCCATTAGATTCCGTTAAAATCTAACGGCCTTAAACAAACTTTAGAACAACATATACCCAAATTCACTTCACTTTCACTTGAACCCTAATTATCGCATCCACATTTCGCCTTCTCTTACGCTTCTTCTCAGTCTCTGTTTTTCATCTTTCTCTCAAATATCTCTTTATCTTTTTAGTCTATCTCTTTCATCTTTCTCTCAAAAATCTCTCTATCTTCCCACTATTTCTCTTTCATCCTGGTTTTAACTTTGAAGAAGACTAACAAGTGCCATACAACATTACCAGCCCAGAACACAGACGATGGTTAAGAATCAGGTGCTGACGGAAATCGATGACCATGGCCCATTGGAATTTCATCTTCTGAGTATGTGTACATATATAAACAGATCTTGAGATTTTTTATGTATACGAATGTGGTTATATATATATAAACGAGCTTGAGCGAGCCAAGTCGAGCCCAACCAAACAAAGACGAGCTGAGCCTGAGCATACCTTAGCCTTGCTCGTCCGAGCCCGAGCACGCCTTTGATTTTGGCGAGCTGAGTCCGAACAACCCTAAGCTCGGCTCGGCTCGGTTCATTTGCAGCCTTACCGCCACCACCTTCCACCACCATCACATTTCACTATAGCCACTGCCTTCCACCACCACTGCCACCACTACGACCTTCCACCACGGCCACAATCTTTCACCACCACTGCTTTCCACAACCATCTTTCACCGTCGCAACCGTCACCACAAACCGCTTTCCACCATCGCCACCGCCACCACCGCCATTGCCTTCTACCACCACCACCGCTTTCTACCACCACCACTGCCTTCACCTTCTACCACCACCATTGTCATTGCCTTCCACTACCGCCTTCCACCACTGCCACCACCATTGTCATTGCCTTTCACTACCGCCACCACCTTTTACCGCGACCACCACCTTGTACCACTGCCATCGTCACCACTTTTTACCACCACCATCGTCACCACTTTTCACCACTACCACCACTGCCACTGATACCATTTATTTTTAAAAAATTATTAGAGAATGTTATTTTGTTAATTTAATTTTTTTGTAACTAAGAGTAATATTTTGGAGAATTCAATTTGAAATTTATTTCATTCTAAATTTTAAATTAATCGAACCAAACAATAGAATGGTTATTATCATTCCATTCTTACACATTTCATATTTATAACCAAATAATAGAATGAGAATGGTCATTCCATTCTATTCCCATTCTCATTCTAACCTCACTTATATTTCATTATATTTCTTTACATCAAATATAACATAAGGATCTATATTTTATTCTAAGAATAACAACTAGCCCAATTTTTACATGCATATATAGTAAATCCTATGTACGTATCTCATACTTACAAAAAAAAAAAAAAAAGTAAATAATTGAACTTTGTCTTTTTTTTTGGTCATGGTGGGGCAAGGCCTATTTAAACATTCTAAAATCTATTGCATGGCCCTTGCAATATCTCTATTTCATAAGCACGAATTTATAGTTGGTAAATTACACTAACATTTTTTTTGAAATTTGGGACAACTTACACAGGTAAAACTTTTGACTATTATTATTTTGACTTTTACTAAGACTAGACGTGTGTACTCAACTATACAGTTAATAAAAATTAAAAATAACTAAATTATCATATACTTATGTTAAAAAACTTAATAATTTTATATTTTGACACGAAATGAATTTTTTAGGATTTGATTAGGTTGATTTTTAAGGAAAAGAAATAAAGTTTGATTAAGTAGATTTATATAGTGTATACGGTACAAAAAAAAATTAGAGACTTTTGATTTGACAGTTTTTTTGATATTAAATTATTATTAAATTAAATAAGGATATGAACCTCTAATTTGTTCAAATTTTTTCGTAAAAGATATTCTGAAGATACGCGTTCCAAGGAAATTCCAACTATTTAGACTTGTTTTGGGTTTTGGTGAGAACCTTTTCAATAGACAATCCCATCTGGTTGTAACGTTACTATGATCTAGCAACCCATTCCTTAGCCAAAATCCCGTCTGTGTCTAATTTACTCATGAATCAATGAACATATTTAACAATGAGGTACCATTCCTGTAAAAGTTTAATACAATTTAAGAGCATTTACTGAATCAATGACCATTTGACTGTAAAACTCTGCATCTCTGAGTTCTAATAATTGGTAAATTGTTCTTGGACTGTAAATTGCTAAATTATGTTATATTACTAATGGATTAAATATGAATACACAACCTATGCTAAAATAATATATTAAAAAAAAATATATTTTTACTCCTTTGCTTACATTTTCAGCTAATAATGCACAACCTATGCTAAAAAATACAGTAATAATAATAAAAATAACTACATAAAAAACGTGTTGCATGCATGAGTACAATTTGTAAATGTAACGATACCATCTCTATAAATATCATGGAAGACAAACACTTTGAATCATTCACAACATTCTGGCCTCCTCCTCAATCATCAAATTGTGTGTGTGTGTCTGTGAGAGAGAGAGAGAGAGGGAGAGGGCAAGACATTTGACTATTAGAACTCCGCCACTGCAACTCTTATTCATTAATACAACGGATACCTTTATCTTTTGTCGCACCTATTATCACCCCCCTTACCTCTGCATTTATACCACCCCAACTACCTTCCCGTTTTCTTCTTCTTCTTCTTCTTCTTCTTAATCTTCACCGGCCACCTCCCTCTACACGCCTCATCTCGACCTTTTCATTCTCCAAATGGGCAGTCTAGATCATCCATCCTTTGTCGCCGAGTCACCCGTTCCCCAATTCAGACCACTTGACTCTGAAATTTTCCGAAAACAAGCCCATCAAATGGTTGATTTCATTGCTGATTACTACAAGAACATCGAGAACTACCCAGTTCTCAGCCAAGTCCAGCCGGGCTATCTCCGGACCCAACTCCCTCAAAACCCACCCCATTGCCCCGAATCCTTCGAAACCATTCTTACAGATGTGCGCAACCATATAATCCCTGGTATGACCCATTGGTTGAGCCCTAAATTCTTTGCATTCTTTCCGGCCACCGTGAGCTCCGCCGCTTTTGTTGGTGAGATGTTGTGTACCTGCTTCAACTCTGTTGGTTTCAACTGGTTGGCCTCGCCGGCGGCGACTGAGCTCGAGATGGTGGTCATGGATTGGCTCGCCAACATGCTTAAGCTTCCTAAATCATTCATGTTCTCAGGTTCTGGTGGGGGTGTAATTCAAGGGACTACTAGTGAGTCAATCCTCTGCACACTCGTTACAGCTAGAGACCGTGCACTCGAGATCATAGGCGTCAATAGTGTGGACAAACTTGTCGTGTACGGTTCTGATCAGACTCATTCCACGTTCTCAAAGGCCTGCAAGGTGGTTGGTATATTCCCGCGCAACATACGATCGGTCCCCACAAAGGGTGATACCAGGTTTTCTCTGTGCCCTGTGGATCTCCGAAGAGTGATAGAAGCTGACGTGGCTTCTGGGTTGGTCCCACTTTACCTTTGTGCGACTGTGGGGACCACTTCGACCACAGCCGTTGACCCTTTGGAGGGTCTCGCTGACGTGGCGAGTAAATACGGCGTTTGGCTGCACGTGGACGCAGCTTACGCAGGGAGTGCATGTATATGTCCAGAATTTCGGCACCACTTGGACGGAATCGAACGAGCTGACTCGCTGAGTCTGAGCCCACATAAGTGGCTACTCAGTTACCTGGATTGTTGTTGCTTGTGGGTGAAAAGGCCTGATTTGTTAGTGAAGGCACTGAGTACAAATCCGGAGTATTTGAAAAACCAACCCAGTGAATCCAACTCGGTGGTGGATTACAAGGACTGGCAAGTGGGTACGGGTCGAAGGTTCAAAGCGCTCCGTCTCTGGCTCGTATTGCGTAGCTACGGTGTCATGAACCTCCAGACCCATATCCGGTCCGATGTTAGGATGGCCAACATGTTCGAAGGGTTCGTGAGGTCCGACCCACGGTTCGAGATTGTTGTGCCCCGACTCTTCTCACTAGTCTGTTTCCGGTTGAACCCGAATGGAGGGTCGAACCCGGAGATACTGAATCGGAAGTTACTGGAATGTGTAAACTCAACGGGGCAGGTTTATATGACGCACACAATAGCGGGCGGAGTATACATGCTGAGGTTTGCAGTGGGGGCCACACTCACTGAAGAGCGCCACGTAATTGCCGCTTGGAAATTAATTAAGGAAGTAGCTGATTATTTGCTGAAGGGTTGGTCAAGTGATTTCGTCTTGTGGGATCGTTTTGGAACGGCTTAGGTCAATGTTGTTTTGCAATTTGTGACTTGTGAGTAGGTGTCATTTATTTTTTCTGATATATAGTGATGAAGAAAGAAGTTGCTATATATTCTTGTAAGTGATTTAATTTTATGTGATATGTATTGTGAGTGTAGTATGTTCGTGATATCTTGTAAGAGAATGGCGGATTATGAAATAAAAAGAGAGATTAATTCTATCAAAGGGAATGCTCTCCATTCACACAATGTTAATGTTCTTGTAAATGGAGAGTATTTGATTTTCCAATCATTTGATTCTTTTAGAAAAAGAATAATTTTCAAAGAAAATTATACTTAGGTAAAATTTAGAGTCCTAAATAACAAACTAATCAATTTTAAAAATTGATATTTCACTTTTGCTTAATTAAGTAAAATATTTAAGTCTGAAATGACCTCCTAACTTTTATTCCAAATTACTAAATTATTCATCTTAAATCAAATAATTTCATCCTAAAAAAATATCATTCATTTTCATGTCTTCACGGCTTTGACCTTATCGATTCTGGATCTCGCTGCCTTAGATCTATGAATTCTTATGATATCTTCCACCTCCTCGTCAACTTCTTTGTGACGATTTTATTTCCTCCCAATCAAACCCTGCATTTACCAAACACCCAAATAATTCATTCATTGAAAATTTTTAGGATTAATATACATATCGAAACATATTTTTATTTAAAAAAAATAAAAATGGCAAATAACATAAATGTAATGGAACAGACTATAAGTCTATATCTATATATGTATAATCCTTATCATCAATGTTGATGGTATTCTACAAATAAGTGTTAAGGCGATTCAGTTTGCTCTATTTGTTTTGTTTCGTTGATCTGGGTTTGCTTTTGAAGAAACAATAATTAGATCCTTTTGGATGACTGTACTGTTTGGTGTTTTAGTAATTTTTTTTTTTGAAAAGTTAATTTCAAGTTTTTTATATAACATAGAAGTATACGACCCAAAAGGGAGCTGGCCCAATACACCGCCCCCAAAAACAAATTTAAATTTGCAGGCCAAGGCTTCAACTGATAGGAAGCAACGAAAGAAGAAATCATAACTGATAACTCCACGATCCGATAGAAACAATGAGGAAACTCCCCAATCAAGGATGAACCTCCTCAATCAAAGGTCCGGTACGTGGTTCCGCCGGACGACGAGATGGGGAAATGGGAAGCTCCCATTCATCTGCAATTTGTTGTCCATTGGTGGAATTCGAAAGAGGTAGTCGAGCAAACTTGATTCTAACATTGTCAAGAGTACGATGGAGGACTGAGTTCTGCATTAGGTTCTTTTTCTTAAATATTCTTCTGTTACGCTCATTTCAAACATTGTAGACAAGTGATGAGAGTGCCATTCGCGAGATTGAGCTTTGTTGGTTGGAAGAATCTCCTATTCATTGATGTGTAGGCAAGCCCAATTTGGTGGCTGAATGTGAAACCCACAACGTATTTGAAGAAATGTCCATACGACCCAAAAGGTTTGACATAGGAGCAGGCAAAGAATAAGTGATTTGGTGTTTTAGTATTGCTAATTCTGGGTGTTTGGAAAATTGCAGGGATTAATTGGGAGAAAATGAAAAAGTCTACTAAATCAGTTAGAAGAAGATAATAAGTTACTAACAATTCACATATTTTTGCTGACGCGAGGATTGTTGAATATGACTCTTTTTTAAAATTTTTTTTTAAGTGAATGAATTATTTGATTTAAGAAGAATAATTTAGTATTTTGAAATGAGAATTCGGAGGGTATTTTGAACATAGACAATGGTTATCTATGTATATGTAATTATTTTACAAATTAATTCAATCAGAGTGAAAAATAAAAGTTTAAAACTGACCATTTTGTTATCCAGGATTGTTAACTCTATTTAAATGAAGTTTTCTCAATTTTTAATTGTTTGACGATTTTGAAAGTGCATACATCAAAATTATCTTAACAATTACGGGGGAGTGGTTTGATTTTGTGTGATAAGTATTGTGGGTGTAGAAATGACCATCGATCCTAAGTTTTAATTCCGTCCAAAATCATTTGGCAAAGTTATCCTTTTTAATCCAACTCATTTTTTTAAAAAAAAAAAAAAAAAAAAAAATTCTTCTCCTCAAATTTTTGCAAAACTCGTATTTAAAAATATAAATAAAATAAATATATTCTTCCAAAATTTATATAGTTGTACAAAAGTAACTAAAAGCACAATTTTTTTTTTTTTTTTTTTTTTTTTTTTTTTCATAAGGCAAGAAGTATTAGAAGTTAGATTAATAAATACAAAGAGTCAAAGTTTGACACTACAAAATTTATGAGAAACACTAATACATTGGACTCTCAAGGCATTTGCAACTAAATAAACATATACTTTGTTTTAATAATAGAGATAATTTTGTATGTAATATAAGGGTTTAGGTATAAGAGTAAAATAGTACTCTCATATTATAAATAGGGCTAGGGGCGGATATAGGATTGGGCTAAGTCCACCCAAAAAAAAAAAAAATTCTATTTATATAGAAAATTTTAGCCCAATTAATATATATATATATATATATATATATATATATATATATATATATATATATATATAGTATTAACCTACCTAAATATTAGCTTAACCAAACAAGTCCTAGCCAGTTAAATATATATTTAATATTAAATCACGTCATTGACAATTTCTAAAATCATTTTAAAAATTCCAAGGAAAGAGTGCAACACAATGTATTTTGTGATACTTAAGTGTAGTGTGATGTAGTGTACTGCTCTAGTTTAGAATAGAACAAGTGTTTTGTAGTGTGATATTCTGAAATGGGAACAAAACATGTTTGGAACAAAAATTTGGAGTGAGAATTTTAGAATAGAAATTAATATTTTTTTTGTGGATGATTAAATTAAATTAATTACAAAGCTTCATTAGTTTGCAAAACAAGAATTACAGAGCTTGATTAGTTGATTTAGAAAAAAAAAAAATTAAAACAAAACCCATACACACAAGTTAGCAGTTGCAGAGAGAGAGAGGGGGCAAGCTTGATAGTTGAGACCCATACACACAACAAAACCCAAACACAGTAGAATAGCGAAAACCCATACACACAAGGTAGCTCTCTCTTTTATTGCATAACTGTACTTCAAACTAAATATTGACTCTATCGTAACAGGGAACAGAGTGAGAGCAAAGCTCACATCAAATAAGAGACCCGCCCTTCCTCTTGCATCTCTGGTCAAACAATATTGTAAATCAGTATATATATGTTCAAAAAAATGTCTCAAAGAAAGGTGGACCTGACACTTGACCGAAAGATATGGGTTTTGAACAATCTGAAATGAAACCCATTCTTGTAGATTTTGTAGTTTGCAATTGCAGAGGGGGAGAGAGAGGGAAACTGATTCTTGTATATTTTGTAATTTGCATTTGCAGAGAGAGAGAGAGAGAGAGAGAGAGAGAGCAAGTTCACAGTTTTTTTTGATCTGAAATTAGGGCAAGTTTAGAGTTGAGAACGAGAATAGAGATGGAGGCGATTAGGAGGCTGAAATGATTTGCCGTGAAATCGCCACTGGGAGGCGATTAGGAAGTTTTTTTTTGATATGAAATTAGGGCAAGTTCAGAGTTAAGAATGAGAATAGAGATGGAGGCGATTAGGGCAAGTTCAGAGTTGAGAACGAGAATGGAGATGGAGGCGATTGGGAGGCTGAAATTTTTTTTATTATCTCGTAAAAATAAGTGGGCCTAGAACAACATAAAACACCAAATTATTGTTCCAATTTTTGGGCCAAATATTGGATTTGTTCCTTGGTGTTTCACTACTGTTGATAATACAACAAGTTGAGCCCAAACAACATGTGTTCTGAAAATTGGTACTGTTGCACTGTAGGGCACACTACAACACACTAACCAAACACTACAGCACTGCGGTGGTATGGATTTTGAAATTGAAAAAAGTAAATTCGGACAGTCCACCAAAACTTCAAAAACAATAAATTGGTTTATTTATGAATAATTTCACATCTATATTGTCCAACTATCATTATGGAACGGTCTACATCAAAATTATCTTTGCAACCTTTTGCCCGATCTTCAAAAACAATAAATATGCAGTATTTGTTTAAGGATATTGAAAATTGAAAATTTCACCAAGGGACACTCTAAAATAATACAAGTATCCTTATGAAATGTGATTTATCTAATGCAAGTGTGTACTCCGACAACTATTGAATACACATTATTGACAAAAAGCACATTATTATTGCAAATCAACAACAACCTGTACGGAAGAACACGTGAAAATTGAAATCGCTTACTGTCCCATCAAGTCAAATCAACACTCAACTTTCTCTCCATCATATTTTTTTTTTTTTTTTTTTCCACAAACTGGTATTCATTTTTTGACTTTTGATTATTAAAAATTTCTTACCATATTGTCTGCCCTGAACTAAATGCAAGACTCTGCTGCTGCATTCGAGAAAGGCCAGTAAAAACTATTATTATTATTATTTTCATTTTCTAAATTGTAATTGGAACTTATGATTTCATAAAAGGGTATTCAAGACATTAAATCTTAAAAGGTCACTAAATGACAAATATTTTGTAAATTTGATTACTATACATATATTTAGGAAAAATATATATATATATATATATATATATATATAGATATATTTTGGGTAAATAATTTTTTATTTTATTTTAAAATAATAAATAAGTAAAAAATTATATAGTAAATATAACTGAGGTAATTTTTTGTGATCAAAGAAACCAAACCAAAATTCCATTTTGTGAAGTATATATGTTCCAAAGCTTTTGGTCCACGAATGCTCAAAATATTGAACGTGTAAACGATATGACTCAGAGTAAGTTAAGGTAACCAGGACTATGAACAAAAGTCCATAAATATCTCCGGACTAAGAGTCTATTTGCTTTTGTAATGATAAAGAAAAAATTACTCATAATGACTAAAAATAGTTCGAGTTCAACGTGACAAACACATTAACACACAAGTTTATGAGTTTTACACGCTAAGACATCCTATGAAGAAAAAATATATAATAGAATGTCCAATTCTGCTGATGAATGTGAACAAGTTTATAACTATCATAATTAACGAATACTTAATATAACTTTTTAATTAATTAACACAAGCACCCATCATATACGTATGCGGATAAATTGAAAAAAAAAACTAAGATTTTATTAAAACTAGAAGTCAATTACAAATCATCGACGACTTTGTAGAGTAATCCCAACATTCATATATAAGGAAAAACAAAAAGAACAGCAGCAAAAGAAATAAAAACACAAACAACAACTCACGGTATTGCTTGGAAAGCAAGCTTATTTATGCCCGTGCATGGATTATACCTTGCAAATTCAATTCATGATGAAACCTCACAAATATATATAACTTATTGATAGTTTTAGGAGAGGTTTCTTATTGTTTTGGCAATGGAACAGTAGAAGCTTCATTTGTTGACTTGTGGGTCAATCATGAATTCCAATGGAGTTTTTCCTCTTGTGGCACCCTTTTGGTGTTGTTCCATGTAGTCTTGGTAGGCGAGATGTCGGTATTTGATTTCACTCTTCCCATCCACCAGAGGACTGGCAGGTGCAATGGTGTTCGTCAACCCAGGCCCATTGCCCACCGCTATTGATATCCTCGTTTTGTGTTCATTTGCCACACCTTGATGCTTCATAGTTTTGTACTTTCCATTGCTCAAAATCTAAGATCATAAAAAAAGATCGTTATGATTAAAGGAGTTAGTGCTACAATGACCCAGGTTCAACATATTAATTGGTTAAGTAACAACACTAGTACAACAATCAACAGAAAATAAAAGATAAATAATAAAAAAAATTCTTCTGAGACTCAGATTCTTCTTCGGGAGATTGAAGCTATGTGATCATAAAGATTGAAGCTAGCTCCTTCCCCACTATGACCAAACTATTAATTGGCCGCGTTACATCCTATTATTAATACTCTGTGCAATTAATTAATATCCTATATATTGTGTTAAATTAGAATTACATACATATATAATAGACTAACCTCCATGTAATCTCCTATGTTGACAACAAAAGTCCCTGGCTTGATGTTGGCAGCAAACCACTCGCCCTTATGTTCAACTTGTAAGCCATTAACGTCATTTTGCATCAAAACTGTTAGTCCACCATGATCAGAATGTGGTGGTATGGCAAGTGTTCGGTGTGGCTCTGGACATGGAGGGTAATAATTAGCACCAACCACCTGAAAACCTTCTCCAAGTGCCTTCTCTATGTAATCAGGTTCAAGTCCTAGAGCTTCTGATAGTGCACTTGCTATCTTCAGTTGCAACTGCCATACCTTCTCTACGAATTCCTTCGCTATGTTCCTTTAATTCACAGATTTTGGATTAATTTTGCTAAATGAATTTGAATGAAATTGAGAAAAAATGGTTCATTTAAAGATATATACCTGTAGTTAGAGGGATTGCTAGGCCAAAGATCGGAGGTACTACTAAGAGGACGGCCATGTCCATGATGCCTCAAATAGTCCCTCCAGAAAGCATGCTTCGTGGATGCATTCACGCTTGCTCCATACTTAACAGGTGGATTAATTGGATCGTCCGAAGCATATTTCATCTTCTCTTCCGAAGGCAGATTGAAAAATCCTGCTACGACCTCCAACATTTCCTCCATCAGAGAGATATTTATCCCGTGATTAACAATCTGTTCATTAAACTTTTGTTAATTATTACAGTAATAGTCCCAAAACAAACTATATATTAACGTCTAAAACATGTATACTAATAAAAATCCACGCTACAAAATGTTGTAAATTGTGTGGCCTTGTGTCTTGGCAGACTCAGCCTATAAAGCACTTCTTTAAAGATAACTATATTGTATGTAATTGCTTTGAGTACTTATTATTCAGACCGAGTTTGGTAACCAATGGCTAAAAAGAATTTTTGAATCAGTCAACTTTGGAAAGAAAAAAATATATATATTTACCCCGAAGATTCCCCATTCGACACAGGCAGAGTCGATGGCCTGAATAGTGATCTTTCTAGACTCAGGGGGTCCATTGAGACCACTTAAATCGATGACAGGGATTGAAGCATGACGGACTGATAATGGGTTTGTGGGTAACGGCACAACATATTGTGAAGGCAGTGTGGTCATATTGGGTAGCATATCAGTGAGGTACTTGACCCCTTTTGTGTAATAATCGCCATCAGTTGGCAGCTCTTTAGCAGCAGTTGTGGCAATTTGAGAAGACATTGTGGTAGTAGCTAGTAAAAGCAGTGAGATTGAATGTAGGTTGTAAGAAAAATTGAGTTGATATATATAGGCATTGTTGCTGCTAAAAGTCGTTGGTTTAGGTCAGGTGGCTCACTAGACTCACTACAGATTGTGTGTTTTCTGAATTGGGGTAGGCAGGTACGTACGTATGTGTCTTGACTCTTGACAAGAAGAGGATTACGTATGTTCGATCCATCTAGATGCTGTTTTGTCAATTTTGGGTGGCCAGGTTATTTCCTGTTCTCTCTCTGGATTCATATGGAGCTTATTTTTCACCACTTTCATGTTTTAAGAGACCCGCTCACCCATCACTTTATTATTATTATTTTTATTTTTCACATCTTTTACATTACAACACGTGGTTTACTTAATTAATTCAGAAAAAGTAAACCACAGATGGTGTTTTTTCAATTAGGGTAGCCAAGTGGCTCTAACGTACATGTGAAAAAACCCTAAACATATTTTTTTTCAGCATCGACAATGTTGACAATAATGTTGAGAATGGAGTCAACATATCATTTAATGCAATAAATAGTGACAATTCAAATGTATGTGGCCGTCCAAATGCACAAGCTGGTGAAAGGAGGTGGTTTTTCTTTTGGGATTTTTTTATATAAATGGGTTTAGTGGCCTATATTTACATATCCATTGAGTCAAAGTATCATAATTTCAAAAAAATGTGTTTGACTAAATTACTGATGTGGCACATGAATTATTACGGTTTAAAATTTGTGTTACCTAAAATGCCTTTTTCCCTATTTTTTGTGTTGCCTAAAATGCCCTTGTCCATTTTCCAATACATTTTGGAGCCCTAACCTCACTGAAATCTCATTCGTGCAAGAGCCCCCTCTGTCTCTCTCTGCCCTAACCCTCACTCAAATCTCATTTTTGAAGAGCCCTCAAGAGCCCTCTCTCTCTCTCCCCCCCTCTCTGTAATAGCCATTTCACCCTCATTCGTGTTACCTAAAATAACCTTCTCCCTATTTTTTGTGTTGCCTAAAATGCCCTTGTCCATTTTCCAATACATTTTGGAGCCCTAACCTCACTGAAATCTCATTCGTGCAAGAGCCCCCTCTGTCTCTCTCTGCCCTAACCCTCACTCAAATCTCATTCTTGAAGAGCCCCCTCTCTCTCTCCCCCCCTCTCTGTAACAGCCATTTCACCCTCATTCGTGCGCCCTCTCTCTGTCTAACCAGCGAAGCAAGACCAGGCCACCACGAAATCCTGGACCTCTTTCTGAAGAAGAAGAAAAGAGCTATCGGTGAGCCAGCAAGAAAATCTCTCTCTAAATATGGCGATACACCTCAGCATCTGCAACGAGACCTATTTCCCTGGGGCACCTGCCCACAAGTGAATGTAGAAGCCAAATGAGTCATTCTTTTCCTTCAAAACGCCCTCATTTTCTAGTAATGGTAAGTACTCTCTCTCTCTCTGTCATTTATTTTGTAGATGATTAGTATTATAATTTTTTTTTTCCCAATTGGATGTCTGATTTTCATCTAGGTGTTTTTTATTTTTTATTTTATTTTATTTTATTTTATTTTATAAAGAGACATGAGCTATATTATACCCTCTAATTCTATATATGTTTTTACTGTTTCTATACCAAATTTTTGATTCCACCACTCAAATATGCAGGTATTCTTTTAGCATTGGTACCACAACAAAAATTCAATTTTTTTTTTTATAAATTTTAATTATTAAACATACAGCTTTGTTGTCAAGGCCTTGATTCTCCTTTGGACTATATTCATCTGAACTTATGTGAAGAAACTCGATTGATTTGTAGCGCTCATTCCGCTCCCTTAACATGTTGACCTGGTAATATAATTATATAAATATTTTTTCAAATTAACACCAATTCATGAATAACAGTAAGCGGGAATCAAATTAAAAACTTGAAAATTAAATGTAAAATGCAAACCTCGCGCATGCAAAGCCGGCAATCATCGTCATAAAGCATCTTAACTTCCAATTTGGAGACACGATTGTTCATCATCATCATCTTCTTTCTTGGGAGCTACAGCTTCCACAGTTGGTTCATGTATTGCACGAATTGAATATTTTTATCCTGCAACAAGGAAACAAAAAACTCAATAGCCCTAATATAAAGCAAAATTCATGTTATTCTTTCCCTAATAGAATTAAAAGCTAATTTGAAAAATATTAATGGCATAATACCAAATACAATTATCAAAATCACAAAACAATATATCTAATACCAAATCATAAAAACCCATTTGGAATTAGAGTGAGTAATGTAGAGAAAATATAGAAATGAAAATATATATATATATCTGACACAATTTTAACCTAAAATGAAAATTATATGTGTGTGTGTATATTACCTGTTTGGAAATTGGGATTATATGAAAGAGTTCTATGAAGAAGAGGGTGTGAAGAAGAGGCATGGTGTCTAGTTCTGAGATAGCGAGAGATAGAGAGAAGAATTGGGTTTGCTTGCCTTCCAATTGAAGCTACCCCTCTCAATGCCATGCTGTTGAATCTAAAGAGAGAGAGAGTGGTGTGTTTCTAACTTTCTGTTATAAACGGTTCTGTATACGTGGTAGCACAGTTTTCACCCAAAATAAAAAAAAATAATAAAAATCATTAAACAAAAATTCAACCGATACAAATCACTTAATGTTCCTGGTTTGGTGTATTGATTATGTTCACAATTATAATTGAATTATACCTAAACAATCTTCTATTCAGTGATACTTGTGGTGCTTTCATGTTGGAGTTAATGGAGAAATGGAATGGTTCACTCAATCAACCAAAAGAGAAGGTGAAGTGGAAAAATCTATTTTTTTACGTGGGTCTTATCTAATTTTTTAAATGGTGTTTCTGATTTTGAATCTTAATCAAAAAGAAATAAATAAAATAAAAATCCCATTTTTTTCTTTAACAACTAAATGTGCTTCATGAGATGTCAAGTCAGTAGGTCACAATCTTTTAAGCCAGGGTCTGAGTAAATATGATTGTACATTGATAGATGTTACTTATGAGTTAAAGGTCATTGGAGATTGACTAAACCTGGAAAAGAAAAATGATCAATTTTTTAGAATTGATATGACAATTATTGAGATAAATAAATTATATTCTTCACAATAACCGTCTGCCGAAATTTGATCCATTAAAATGGAGTTTTTTAGAACTTGACAAGGCTCTTAACGGCCTTGTGGTGGTCAAGATTTTTCTCGAAATGCGTCAACACACCAACAACCTCTTTCCCGAAACGTCACATTAAAATGGAGTTTTTTTAGAGAGGGAATATCTTTGGCTTTCACCAATGGTTATTCTATTTCACTAGGTTGTTACTTTCATATTATTCATCTTGTTTTCCCTTATAAATTATTATGTGCTTGGTTTAATGAATTCTGTTTAATCATGTTAATTTTTTCATGTTAATGTACCCTTTCAAGAATTCATCTTTTTTCACTATCAAACTTATTCCATAGAAAGTTGCAATAGTGATGGAACCCATTTGACCTCTTTTAGTCTCTGGGCATTAATTTTAATAATGCCTAAGGAACCATTTGTGATAACCATGAGTAGTATAGATGAAAATGCTGATGTGCATGGATGATAATGGTGGGTTGGGTTGATTGATTTTCATTAATCAAGGGTTGTGTTGATTGATTTTCATTGTAGAATTTTAGCAGATGTGTATAAAATTTGAATTGGTTTTTACATTTTGAGCAGTTTATAGCAGTAGACCTCTTGAATGGTTCATGAATTAGCATACAAAGTTTTAATTAATTATTGTTCCTTTATGTTCAAAAATCTAACTCCCTAATTGCTATTGTTAAATTTATTTATTACCTAAAAGGCAATGAATTTATGTGTAGATTTTTGGGTAGGATTGAAGTGGTTTTCGTTTTTGATGGGGCTTTGTTCTTTCTTTGAAAACATAAATCTGCATAGTTAAGGTGAGTGTTTGATCTAAATTTATAATGCCTACATATACACTGATGTTCTCGAAATCAATTTCTTATGTACCTTTGTTTCAATTTATACTTTGGAAGTTTCTATGTTTATCATCTCTCCAAATGATGCCAAAAATTTATGTGCTTAATTGGATACTATCTCATGTTGATATCTAATGTTTGATGAAATATTTGTATAAAGGTTTTTATCATGATCAAGTTATATTTGAGGACCGATTGTTCTATATATGGGCTGATGTTATTTTCTGTAAAGGATTGGGTGACCTTAAATGTAGTCTCTTGGCAGAAATTAGAGTGCTGCATTTCCAGCTTTCTTGTCAAATTCTCTCAAGTCTTCGTTTGGAACAGAAGTTTTTATAAGAAGCTGTATTGGCCCAATTGCTACGAAATTTTTTCCCCAGATTCCTTTATGTGTCTAGTACTTCCGAAATTAATTCTATGATTTTTGGCCAAAAAGTTATTTTTATAAAAAAAACGGGTAGTAGCTGCCGTCTGAATTTTTCCAGTACTTGTAACTTGATTTTTGAACATTTTACTTGACTGACTTGTTGACCTAGGAAAATTCCAAGAACTTCCATATTTATAATATCCAAAGTCTCATTTCAAAATAAATTAATTTTTCTCAATTTGGATGTCAAACGAATGTTCTAAAAATACTTTCCACCGCTCTAATTTTCTTCGAACGTGTTGTCCCATGTTGGGGATGGCTGTCCCTTTTCCTTTCCCCCAACTTCTTTAAGGCTTGTTATTATTTTCGTTATATGACACAAATTGAATGTCATTAACTTTTTTTTTTTTTTAACAGAATGTTATTGAAGGAGATTCTCTTACATAGACAGGATTTCCACATTTCCGTTGCGCTATGAGCTAGCTGGAGTGGGGAACACCTCCCGGACAAATCTCCTTTTTAGTTTGGAAGTCAGTAGGGAGTGATCTTTGGAAAGGGCACGATCATAGCTTTGACTTGTCAGGCTTGTTTTGGATTCTTTGCTTCTTTTGTTTCGAGTTCTCAACGACAATAGCACTCGAGAAGATTGCTATGGATGATT